TGGAGAAACTAATTGAAGCTACTGTGATCAGAGTGCTGACCCTGCTATTTGGCTTCAGCAGTTTGTCACAACCCTTCTCTAATATTTTTGTTATTTTTTTGGAGCTAATTTTGGTAGAGTCAAATATCTCTTTTGGAAGCAGCAAAACAGTAGTTTAAAAATGGAAAAAAAAAACTATTAGTTTGTATGTTTTAAAGAATTTTTAGGGCACATTTACAGCATTTCAAAAGAAAAGATATGACATTTACATTAAGTATTCCTTGGCTATTCACTCCTTCCTCCATTCTCAGGAAATACTGTATATGCCAGTAAAATAACAGGAAAATCCCCGAGTTGAAAATATCCTTTTTGAAGTTTTCATGCCAAATCTTTTAGAATAGATTGATTTACTGCCACGTAGCATGCCTAAGTGCTGGACAGTTTTATGATTATAGGAGACATTCAGGCATTAATAGGCACATAAATATACATAGGTTCCTGTTTTTTATCATCTGTTCACGCAGAACTAAACATACAATTAGATCTTTTAAAAAAAAAATAGTGGATTTTCCCTGTTGGTCACATTAGTGTTTGGTTAGCTCAGCCATTGACATATTTTGAGGGCTACCTGGGATATCTGCACAGGCCACTATCCAAAGTCTGTGTTATACTGAATAGTTCCTTTTTTGCAAAATTAAGGACTAAAATTAATGCTAACAGTGTATTTGTCCAGGGGCTCTGTAATCTTTTAATGCTTCTCTTAATTAAAGGAACAGTAATATTAATTACTAGTTCCTGCAGGATTTTCCCCCCAACAAATCTTTATTAAAATTATAGAATAACAGAATATTTTCACTGAAGTCTAGAGGACTGTTAGAAAAAATTTCCACACCTTTTTCACTTCACAGAAGATACTCTGTGCATCCAGTTGCAGAGCCGTAGTCAGTTTCTTCTGTTGTTCATGTGGATTTTTCACACAGCAAATGGAGAGCAAAAAGCATTTAAAACGGTAGAAAAATGTGACTGTAAAACTCAAACAATTAGCAAAGGACTTGGGTGCAAATGTACCAGAAACTACTTTTAACTCATGTTTGGATATGTTAGATTTTAAGTTGATGGTGACCCTTTAACCAGTCAATCCATATGTGTCACCATGATTGTCTCAAAATGGTTCTGTGAATTTATTCGGTCTCTTATAACATGCAAGTCAGATTTACCCAATTGATTAGAATTATTTTGCATAGGTTTACTAATCTGCTGTCATACAGATATTGTACTCTGGTGAACAGTCAGGCTCTCAGATGCGCATACAGCACTGATTCTTAAAGATCAAGATTTCTTGGTCTTTTGTCACAGTCAGCAAAATTCATCTTATTCCAGCTATACTGCAGCCTTCTATCTATCTTTGGTCCTTTCTAGGGTAAAGAAATAGTAAATTTCCCACCATTGCTCACTCTTACCAGAGCTTCCAGTGTTGGGAGCCATAGCATAGCAGGGCTTCTGGTGTTATAACAATGTTATGAAACCTTGCCTAGAGCACATAGATCGACACTGTATTCAGAAACTCCTGCAGCAACCAGCCGCCCTTCTTTCTATATTTGGGCTCCTAATGTTGCTAACACTGGTGAAGCTGTGAACAGATATTGACAACAGGAGGAAGTTTTTAGAAAAATTCCCTACTGTGGATAGGGCTTCTGTGTGTGTCTCTCTTCCTTGCACTCCTACCCCTTCAGAAACCTAGCTTTCATATTCCCTACTGAGTTGAATACTGTAATTTATTATAATTAATTGCTTATCAAGTTTCAGAAGATGACATCACATTCTATCCATACTATTGGTTACCCTTAGACAAATGTGGAATAATGGACCCAAATTTAAAGAGGCGGTTGTTTACTCTGAATACTTTTGACAGGCTAATTAGCATAATTAGCACAGCAAACACACAATTGAAATCATTAACTGCAGAGAGCAGACTGTTCAGAGAGCTCTCTTTAATTACCTGAAAAAATACAGGTGAAAGATCTGCTCTTTGTGTGCCATTAAGTTACAGATCAAATAGATTTGATCCACTGCTGATTAATATGTAATGACAAATTAACTTTTTGAAGCTTGTATCCTGTGTTACAGTTGGAGAATGACTTTAATTTGTCTTACTTTCAAAATAACATGAAATATTCATGGTGGAGCTGGTAATGATGCCCATTAGAAGACCGTCTTGAGCATAAATATATTTGTGTTGTAAGCACTATTTAAAATTTTTAAATGTTGGCAGAAAGTTCAGGCAGTGTGCTAAATCAGCTGGATTCCCCATATATTTTTTACTCTGCATCTTCATAGAAACAGAGGATGCATTCAGAAATTGTTTGCCTTTGTTTAAATTTTTTTAAAAAAAATGAGGTATACAGTACAGTTTAGTATTTCTGTTTTCTTACAAGGTTTACTACATTTCTCCACCTGTTTTGTAAATGTATAGGTGTAATGGTAGTTTGTTACTGGCATCCTTCTACCCTTCACATATATTGTGTTTGTGAACATGTAAGGTTAATATTTAATATCAAGCACCATGGTGCACATGTACAAAATAATGGGTCTAATTTTCAAAATTGTGTGTCTAATATTTGGCACATAAATAGAGATTTGGATGCCTAATAAAAATTTTAGCTGCTTAACTTTAGGGTACTATAATTGAATGTTGGGATAAATACTACTTCTGTAGAGTCTTTCTTTTGTGGCTCTTTAATGGGGTTTACAAACCCTCACTATGGCCAAGATAGTGGGAAACCTGGAGCAGTACTGGCCAGGAAAGCTCCACCCCATAGTCACTGCTGAGCATACTCCTGGGGAAAGGAGCTGTATAAAGAGAGCTCCAGAAATCCAGGCAGTGAGGCGGAGAGAAGCCATTTCCTGGAGGACACTGCTCTGCAACAGTAGAAGAAGAAGCTTTTATCAAGGAGGTCCAGCTGTGATCTTTCCCCCTACTTTTTGATATCACACCAGAGTAGGGAGTACTTTGTGCAGGGGCACCAGAGGGTCACCTGCATCCATTCTGAGACTCTGGGGTTTGAGAAAATTACTATAACAAAACTGTAGCCATGCACCACACTGCGGCATCCAGTGTGGTAGGAAGTGTCGCAAGGGAATGTGAGCAGGAGGTGGGTTGAACATAAGCCTTGCCACACTATCACACTTCCAAGGCCGTGGGCCAAGTCCTGGTGAATAGGGAGAGCCCACGTCCCCCTATCCACTCCAGATTCCTCTATGCTTATCCGTTGGGCAGAACTTGGGGGTTACTGTCAAGGAGGTTGACCCAACTGAATCCTGTTCAGGACACATTGACCTAAAATAGATCCTGGAGTAGGAGGCCCTACCAGTAGACCTGCTGACCAAACAGTCCCTGCTATAGGCTCTGAAAACACATAGCAAGAATTAAGCCTCACAACATACCTCTGGTGTAGGTAAAAGCACAGCGGCTCTACGCTATAGTTGAGGATGAGAAGAGAAGAATACTGCATCTGATTGGAAGTGCAGGGGTACTGCAGGTAGAAAAATGTATTTATCCAGTGAATTTGCTAGAACATTGGGCGTAATGCTCTTTCCCTTGCATAAAGCACTGTGGGAATACAATACTTCTATACTCATCTGTCATTACACCTCAAAGCACTTTGTAAACATTAATTAGTTTAGCCTCACAAAACCACTGTGTGATAGTAATATCCCCCTTTTACAGATGAGAAAACAAGATACAGAAGGCCAGATCCTGAGCCCCACTGCGGCCTAATGTACATTTAAAAGTATTGCTAGCATAGTTTACCAGCAACACCCTCCTAGTACAGATACAGTTTATGCTGTCAAAAAAGCACTTTCTTGCCAGTACTTTTTACGCCGGTTGAGCAAGCAAAATAGTCTATATTAGCAAAAGAACTTCTGTACTGATCTAACTGTGTCCACGCTAGGGCTTTTTCCAGTATAGAAATGTTGGAAAGAATTGATCCCCTAATAGCCATTTCTATACCGGCAAAAACTTCATGTCGACCTTGGCATAAGGCTGTTTTGCACCAGGGGTGGTGGTACTATGGGTGCGGGGGGTGAAGCAGCACCCCCTGGCTTGATGTGGTTTCCATCATATACAAGGCTGAGAGTTTTGTTCAGTGGCTTTCAGCACCCCCACTATAAAAAGTATTCCAATATTCCAACTGTTTTGCACTACTCTGGAAGCTCTTAACCTGTCTCATCTGGGTAGTTGGGGATTCAGCTAATCTGCAGGAATCTCCCTGTGAATTAGAACTGCCATAGCAGCTCATACATCGCCCACTATCCAGACATGAACAGACATGAGGTGTAAAGCAGTACAAGACAGAATACATTAAATTTACATTCAAGAAATATGCCATTAAATTTTCAGAGCATTCATTTCACTGCTATATAGTTTAATAATACTAAAAATGCCAACATTGTGACTTTCTTAATGCTTTCAACCTGTTTTACCCTGCGCTTGTAATTTTGTGATCATTACCAAAACAAAACCCCCAAAATTTATTTATACATACAAATAATTTTTATTTACTGACCTGGACTCAGTTACTTCTGTCCTCCTCCTTTCCCCTTTCAAATCAAGATTATATATTGCCTACAGAGGTGAGAGACCCTGATCCTACTCAAGGTGGCAAGCAGTATGTTTGATAGCGTGACTTTGCCTGATGAGACCCGTAATTACCAATTGTGGAAAACAATTACTTATAAACACAGTGTAGCTGTTTGTACTTGTGAAACAGTGTTGTGAGGATACATAGTTTAGAGTAAATGATTAAAAAAGCAACACATTTTCTGTAAGTTAGCTAAAACATACTTGTGTGTTGGTTTGAAAGCTCCTGGAATAAATGAGACAGATATATACCCTAACCAACGTGAACCCTCTTGAATTTTGGGGAAGTTTGTGTCTGAATACTGCAGCTTGGACCCATCTCTACAGAAAGCAGACGTGCATGACAAGTTGTAACTCTCCTTTTTTTTTTTTTCTCTAGCCTTTCCGTTGTGCACACTGTCATTATTCCTGCAATATATCTGGCTCCCTGAAGAGGCATTACAACAGGAAGCATCCCAATGAAGAGTATGTTAATGTAGGTACTGGTGAACTTGCTGCAGAAGCCCTTATCCAACAAGGTAAATTTCCAGTTAAAAGCAGCACATCTGTCTGTTTATTTTCACTGTTGCAGCAAAGTCGATTTGAAGGTGAACATTGAGGAGTGAATTGAACAGTTTAATTATCTGTGTGAAAAAAGTATTTTCTTCTCTAGCTTCTGAAATGGCAACATTATGATTTCATTCACTGTCCCCTATTCTTAGGTTATGTGACAGGGTGAACAGAAGTTCTCAATCTGTCTTCTCTACAGCATTCATTATTTTATATACTTTTATCAGGTCTCCTCTTATTCATCTCCTGTCTAAGGTAAACAGTCCCAATCTTTTCAGTTTCTTTTCAAATGAGTGATCAGCTGATAAATTTCCATGATAGTTTTGAAAGATTGAGCTAATCCTGAAATGAGAACTGAGACTGAATGGCACCAAGTTAATCCCCCAATAAATAAGTCAAGATAAGTAAACGAGTGCAGATCTGTTGTAAATGGAAACTGCTTTGGCCTCACACTTAAGGATAATTATTCAAAGCATTGAATGGGGTTTTTAACCATTCAGCTCCCATTGATTTAGGGGGAGATATTAAAAGACACAAATTGAAGTTAGGTTCCTAACTGACCATGAGTGACCATGAGTTGGTTGAGTTCAGGATCCTGACACAGGGAAGAAAGGTAAGCAGCAGGATACGGACCCTGGACTTCAGGAAAGCAGACTTCGACTCCCTCAGGGAGCAGATGGGTAGGATCCCCTGGGGACTACCATGAAGGGGAAAGGAGTCCAGGAGAGCTGGCTGTATTTCAAGGAATCCCTGTTGAGGTTACAGGGATAAACCATCCCGATGTGTTGAAAGAATAGTAAAATATGGCAGGCGACCAGCTTGGCTTAACGGTGAAATCCTAGCGGATCTTAAACATTGTCAAGGTTCCTCCCCCACTCTGAACTCTAGGGTACAGATGTGGGGACCTGCATGAAAAAACCTCCTAAGCTTATCTTTACCAGCTTAGGTCAAAACTTCCCCAAGGTACAAAATATTCCCCCCGTTGTCCTTGGACTGGCCGCTACCACCACCAAACTAATACTGGTTACTGGGGAAGAGCTGTTTGGACGCGTCTTTCCCCCCAAAATACTTCCCAAAACCCTGCACCCCACTTCCTGGACAAGGTTTGGTAAAAAGCCTCACCAATTTGCCTAGGTGACTACAGACCCAGACCCTTGGATCTTAAGAACAATGAACAATCCTCCCAACACTTGCACCCCCCCTTTCCTGGGAAATGTTGGATAAAAAGCCTCACCAATTTGCATAGGTGACCACAGACCCAAACCCTTGGATCTGAGAACAATGAAAAAGCATTCAGTTTTTTACAAGAAGACTTTTAATAAAAAATAGAAGTAAATAGAAATAAAGAAATCCCCCCTGTAAAATCAGGATGGTAGATATCTTACAGGATAATTAGATTCAAAAACATAGAGAACCCCTCTAGGCAAAACCTTAAGTTACAAAAAAGATACACAGACAGAAATAGTTATTCTATTCAGCACAATGCTTTTCTCAGCCATTTAAAGAAATCATAATCTAACACATACCTAGCTAGATTACTTACTAAAAGTTCTAAGACTCCATTCCTGGTCTATCCCCGGCCAAGACGACTACAGACAGACACAGACGCTTTGTTTCTCTCCCTCCTCCCAGCTTTTGAAAGTATCGTCTCCTCATTGGTCATTTTGGTCAGGTGCCAGCGAGGTTACCTTTAGCTTCTTAACCCTTTACAGGTGAGAGGAGCTTTCCCCTGGCCAGGAGGGATTTCAAAGGGGTTTACCCTTCCCTTTATATTTATGACAAACATAAAAAAGAGGCTTACAAGAGGTGGAAGGTTGGACATATGACCAGGGAAGAGTATAAAAATATTGCTCGGGCATGTAGGAATGAGATCAGGAGGGCCAAATCGCATCTGGAGCTGCAGCTAGTGAGAGACGTTAAGAGTAACAAGAAGGGTTTCTTCAGATATGTTGGCAACAAGAAGAAAGCTAAGGAAAGTGTGGGCCCCTTAATGAATGAGGGAGGCAACCTAGTGACAGAGGATGTGGAAAAAGCTAATGTACTCAATGCTTTTTTTGCCTCTGTCTTCACGAACAAGGTCAGCTCCCAGACTGCTGCGCTGGGCATCAACATGGGGAATAGATGGCCAGCCCTCTGTGGAGAAAGAGGTGGTTAGGGACTATTTAGAAAAGCTGGACGTGCACAAGTCTATGGGGCCGGACGAGTTGCATCCGAGAGCGCTAAAGGAATTGGCGGCTGTGATTGCAGAGCCATTGGCCATTATTTTTGAAAACTCGTGGCAAACGGGGGAAGTCCCAGATGACTGGAAAAAGGCTAATGTAGTGCCCATCTTTAAAAAAGGGAAGAAGGAGGATCCTGGGAACTACAGGCCAGTCAGCCTCACCTCAGTCCCCGGAAAAATCATGGAGCAGGTCCTCAAAGAATCAATCCTGAAGCACTTACATGAGAGGAAAGTGATCAGGAACAGTCAGCATGGATTCACCAAGGGAAGGTCATGCCTGACTAATCTAATCGCCTTCTATGATGAGATTACTGGTTCTGTGGATGAAGGGAAAGCAGTGGATGTATTGTTTCTTGACTTTAGCAAAGCTTTTGACACGGTCTCCCACAGTATTCTTGTCAGCAAGTTAAAGAAGTATGGGCTGGATGAATGCACTATAAGGTGGGTAGAAAGTTGGCTAGATTGTCGGGCTCAACGGGTAGTGATCAATGGCTCCATGTCTAGTTGGCAGCCGGTGTCAAGTGGAGTGCGCCAGGGGTCGGTCCTGGAGCCAGTTTTGTTCAATATCTTCATAAATGATCTGGAGGATGGTGTGGATTGCACTCTCAGCAAATTTGCGGATGATTCTAAACTGGGAGGAGTGGTAGATACGCTGGAGGGCAGGGATAGGATACAGAGGGACCTAGACAAATTGGAGGATTGGGCCAAAAGAAATCTGATGAGGTTCAATAAGGATAAGTGCAGGGTCCTGCACTTAGGACGGAAGAACCCAATGCACAGCTACAGACTAGGGAGCGAATGGCTAGGCAGCAGTTCTGCGGAAAAGGACCTAGGGGTGACAGTGGATGAGAAGCTGGATATGAGTCAGCAGTGTGCCCTTGTTGCCAAGAAGGCCAATGGCATTTTGGGATGTATAAGTAGGGGCATAGCGAGCAGATTGAGGAACATGATTGTCCCCCTCTATTCGACATTGGTGAGGCCTCATCTGGAGTACTGTGTCCAGTTTTGGGCCCCACACTACAAGAAGGATGTGGATAAATTGGAGAGAGTCCAGCGAAGGGCAACAAAAATGATTAGGGGTCTGGAACACATTACTTATGAGGAGAGGCTGAGGGAACTGGGATTGTTTAGTCTGCAGAAGAGAAGAATGAGGGGGGATTTGATAGCTGCTTTCAACTACCTGAGAGGTGGTTCCAGAGAGGATGGTTCTAGACTATTCTCAGTGGTAGAAGAGGACAGGACAAGGAGTAATGGTCTCAAGTTGCAGTGGGGGAGGTTTAGGTTGGATATTAGGAAAAACTTTTTCACTAGGAGGGTGGTGAAACACTGGAATGTGTTACCTAGGGAGGTGGTAGAATCTCATTCCTTAGAAGTTTTTAAGGTCAGGCTTGACAAAGCCCTGGCTGGGATGATTTAATTGGGGATTGGTCCTGCTTTGAGCAGGGGGTTGGACTAGATGACCTCCTGAGGTCCCTTCCAACCCTGATATTCTATGATTCTATGATTCCTATGGCCCATTCACTTTGTGATAGACCCAGGCCAGTTGGGAACAGCAGAGTAGCCTTATTGGGATCCAGGAAGTGGGCGGGCTTTGCCCGCCCACAGCTAAAGGATCCCCCCCAGCCTAAGGGCGGGGTCCACAGGACCTGGAAAACCAAGTAATTACGGGGGACAACTAATGAACAAAAGGGACAGGAATGCGGTTACAGCAGAGTAGCAGAAGGCAGATATACTGGCCACTGGATTAACAGTTTTCTGTTCCCTGCCTGACCAGAGCAGGGGCTGCTCCAGGCTAATGAGAACACTTGACTCCAATTAACCTGCAAAGAGTCAGGTGAGGCCATTAAGCTAATGTGACCACCTGACTCTAATTAAGGCCCCTCTGATAATATAAAAGGGCTGTCTGCAGTCAGGCAGAGAGGAGCCAGGGGAGAGGAAGTGCGGCTGAAGGTCCGGTTAATGAAGACACTCTCAAGTCATTAGTAAGGAAGCCCAAAGGTAAGGGTGAAGAAGGGAGAATCAGGAGAGCTGTGGGAAAGTGGCTCAGGGAAATGTAGCAACTCTGGCAGTAAAAGGTTGGCTGCCAACAGCTGCTACAATTAAGGTCCCTGGGCCAGAACCCGGAGTAGAGGGCGGGCCTGGGTTTCCCCCAATTCACCACTACAGAAACACCTCCTGGGAGGGGAAAACAGGCCCCTGTCAGGACAGGAGGCTAAACTGTTTTAGCATGAGGCGTAGGAGCAACTGAGACTGTGGGAATTCTCTCACCAACCTCCATTGCTGGCTTATGATGAAAAGGGCTCAGAAGACTGTTTCCATGGCCCTCGAGAGAGAGAAGGGCTATGTGGAGGGTTGCAGTGAGCCTCTGAAGCTAGCATAAACCGCCTGGAAGCGTGGTACCCATGGGGACAAGGTTGGAGCTCTGCCACAACTTTCAATTGGAGTTGAGTGCCTCACTGCCCTTTATGCTGTTGAATATCTTTCCCTTTAATGGCCATTTCATTGCTAAAGCCCAGTACGTTACTTTGAAATTGTTGGAACTTTAGAATTTCTCTTTTTGTTACAGAATAGATGCCAGAATAATGCAAAAATATTAGATAATGAATAAATTACAATTCTCCCAAGCGTGTCATTATTTCTAAACAGCATTTCCAAATTATTCTTTTTACAAAGAATCCTTGTCCATCAGAAATGCTAAACCACTTTTAAATAACACTGTTTTTCCTTGTGTCACAATTTCATTCAGAATTAAAAGTTGAGACTCCATCTTTTAAATTGTATAAATACCTTAATTGAAAATGTTATTTTCATGTAGACTATTAAACTCTTCCCAAAGCCTTCTGAAAGTGCATGTATAGTACAAGAGGTGCTATGCTAATCATCCAAGCAATTACACAGCCAAGTGACACACAGCAGTATTTTATTTTTAGACTGCTATTAGAAATTCATAGCAGCAGTGAATGCAGAAAAGCAGATACTTTCATACACCTCAGCTTTATAGAATTATGTAACTTACAACAAAATTGATTTTTAAAAAGTGTTTAACAGTGGAAAATTAATATTCTAACAGTATGGGCTCAGCTGGCATAGGGCTCAAAAATATCTTGTGATACACTGTGCACACTTCAGAGTGGTAGCCATGTTAGTCTGTATCAGGAAGAACAACAAGGAGTCCTTGTGGCACCTTAGAGACTAACAGATTTATTTGGGCATAAGCTTTCGTTGCATCTGATGAAGTGGGTTCTAGCCCATGAAAGCTGATGCCCAAATAAATTTGTTAGTCTCTAAGGTGCCACAAGGACTCCTCATTGTTTTTACTGTACACAGTTTTTAATGGGTTTCTTTTGTTTTTTTTTAATTGCTTTTGGAACCTTGGTCACTTGCCTGGTTAGGTAATCAAACAGGAAAGCATGGTATGGAGATAATCTCCTGATCTTGGGAGTCAGGAAGCATGGATTCTGTCCCCAGTTCTGCCTCAGACTTTCTTTGTGATCTAGGACAAATCACTTATCCCTTCTTTGTCTAAACTACAGATGACCCACTTACCGTCTCTTCACCCTGTTTCCCTCATATCCATAGTCTGTCTTCTTCATGTGGCTTATAGACTTTATAGGACAGGAACTTTCTATTTCTGTGTTTGTAGAGCATCTTGCAATCACAGCTTGATCCTGTTGGTGCTACTGCAATACAAATAATAATACCGATCTCATGGGGATGTTGTGTTAGTAAATTAATTGTTTTAAAAGTGCATTGAGATCCTATGATGGAAGGTGCTTTGGAAGTATATATTACATTATTTTATAGACACAAATATTGGTGTCAAAAGTGGATAAGGTATGTCATTCACTGACGTTTTCTATATCTGTCCCAAGTATTTAATGAATTGAGTAGAAATTAATTTTCCTGAGCTTTGATGCCAATTAACTGGCACAGTTGTACATCAGCAATTTGTGTATTTCCATTTGTTGTTCTTTAATTAGTCACAATGACAAAGGTTGCAGCTTTAATTAATGTGATGTAGTGTTCTAGTAATTTTAATTTAGAAGTAATATAAAAAGGTCTTTCTCCTAGATGATTTTTTATTAAAGTGTGATGTAGAATGAATATTTGATTTCCCTTTTTTGCAATGGAGAGTATCTTTGTCCTAACCTGAACTAAAGCTAGTTTTCTTTTGTACTCTGTTTCATATTATGCCCATTAATAGAGAAGCAATTTCACTTTAGTTATAAAGACATAGCAGTGAGCCTCTGCTGTAATCGGGAGGTTTGGTAAAGATTATAATATCTAGGGAGAGGGAGAGAGTGGCATCCTTGAGGATTAATAAGTGTCAGTGAAAGAGCCTGGCAGCTAAACTAAATTTTGTTCTGTTTTATCAGAATATAAAGTTTAATTTCACTCCATCTGCGGAATACCGTATGCTAGCTTTCCATTGCTGTACAAATGAATGTTCTAGCTAATCACTTTATTCATGCAATACTGTGTGCAATGAGAACTTGACTTGTAATCAGCCTACCAGAGTACACATCAAGCATTTAATTAGATAGCACTAGCTGGAGCCATCGTTTGCCAGGGGAATGGATGATGATGTCTAGAGGGCCATCTGGTGGCATAGTACTTAAGAAGGCACAAGGAGCTCCCCTAATATTTATATTTATTTAATTTAGTGTGGTCTAGTCATCTGATACAACACACCGTTGTATTCAATCTATTTGTAGTTTGGTTTAGTGATGAAAAAAAATCCAGTGAAAACAAATACTAATTTGCATAACTGCATGCATCTAAGTTCTGATATTTGACCAAATTATTTTCATAAAAAAACAGTTAAAAAATTGGTGAAATCTAATGTAGAAATTGGAAGTTTATGATTTTGTCATACTGTACTAGTTTTTTTAATTATGCTGCTGTGAAGACACTGTAAACAACGTACCATATCCGTTTAAAGACCATAATGAAAAGATACCTGTATTTACACTTTAAAAATGTTAAAATAAATCTATAGTTCAAACTCACAAAAGCAAAGATATTTAGGGTAAGGTGCAGTTTCCATTTTATGTTACCAAAGTAAAACAAGGATATTGCAGAAGTCCCAGAAAAGTGAATAATCTTACTGGATGTACTGCTATGAAGTCTGATAACACTGAACAACAGCATTAAAGGAGTTTTGTTTTTGTTTTTATTAACAAAACACGGACCCGACTTTGGAAACATTTACAATGTTAAGAGTATGACAGTATTTTGAAAAAATGGTCAAACATCTACTTGACAGAGAACTCCACCACTCATAAAAGCACTTCACCCCACTAAGGCCTTGCTTCGTACTTCAAGGGCCAACAAACTGGAGCTGTATCAAGAAAAAGGGGAAACAAAATTCAGAGACAAAGGCTGCCATGGCTCCAGTCCTGCAAGATGTTGGGTTGAGCATCTAAATTGCTTTTATCTGCTGGGATTATACATAATGGGGAGGTTCTCAGATACCTTGTTGATGAGTCCATTAAAAAAAAAAAAAGTCTCTAACTGATCATCCTTTGAAGAGATGGAAGATCTAATAGCCTTTCCCCCTCCCTAAATATTGTGATTCACATACAAGGCTTTATATTACAGATGGGCCTAAATCAAAACTCAGAATATGGATACCCCCAAACTTGGAGGAATTTTGGGTGGGTGAATCTAGATGTAAACTTTTGGCTCATGCCTATCTCTGCTTTTTAGATTTAAAATCTTGGCACTAATTCCATCTAAAAACAAATTGCTAGCCAGTACAGTCTACAAAGTATAATTGTATAAGTGGAACCAATGCATTCTGCACTTTTTCCCTAGTAGTGTTTTGGTGGTGGTTTTTTTTTTTTTTTTTTTTTTTTTTGGCCCAGCAGTGGGATGTGAAGGTCAGGATCAGTGTAGTCCTCTTTGGTGGAGAGGTTCATCTCTCACACGTGTACTCACCGTCCTTCAGAGGGTTTCCAGTTGTGCAGCAAACAAAAAACACAGGTCCTTGCCAGTCAATAGTTTGTTTACATTCTACCCTGGGGCTCACATGCCCCTCACAGAAACACAAACTGGGTGAGGAGAAGATCCACTCAAAATTGTATCATACACATTGTAGTGGTTCAGCTAGTCTGATTATACTTAAAATAGTAAGTGTTTAATACATGGAGAAAGCAAAATCTTGTGAGTTATTGCTGCTTAAGTTGACAGAAAAAGGCACAAACTTGAATAGGCTTGAATAGCTTTCTTGTATCCCAAAAATGTAAGGGTAGTAAGAGGGTACTCTCTGGGATCATTGAAGTTTAAGGGAAATAATACCAAAAATATCTTCTTTTGTTTTTGTTTTTTCCCCAGGTGGCATTAAATGCCCAGTTTGCAGTTTTGTGTATGGTACAAAATGGGAGTTCAACAGACATCTTAAGAACAAGCATGGCCTGAAATTAGTGGAACATGACGGGGAAGCAAAGTGGGAGGTAAATACAAAATTGCTACATCTTTGCCCCAGAATTTCCAAATTCTCTAGAAAATACAAGATATGATCTAGAATGTGTGTAAAAAGTGTATTATGGACTTTCTTACATGGTCGAAAGTTGTCTTCTATCCATTATCTCTGGCTTGAATGCATACAGTTACTCCTGGGGGAATTCTGCACTAAAATATTAAAAATTCTGCGCACAATAATTTAAAATTCTGCATATATTATTTGTCAAAATAACATTATATAATCATGCCAGTTTCCATTATTTTGCTAATTTATTTCAAAATACCTGTCGGCAAGTATGTCTGTAACAATACAGAGACGCACAAAATTTCCCCCAGGAGTAGAGAGTTAAAGAAACCCCTTTAACAACCCAGTTCTGTTTCTCTGCCCCCTCCCCACCAGAGTCTGGATGCGGGTTGCCCCCAGCCCAGACACCTGCACCCCTTCCCCTCCAGAACCCAGCTGTGGACCCCCCAACCCAAACACCTGCACCCCCTCCTTCTCCCCACTCCCCCACCCCAAGCTCAGGAGAGGTGGACCCCCCCAAGCCAAAACCTGCACCCCCTCCTTCTCCCCAAGGAGAAACAACCTGATGCTGGGTCCTGAGCTTGTATGGCGTTTCCAGCACACCACCTCCTTCCTTCAGGGCATGCTGAGAATTGCAGTTTCCAGGAACGCTCCAGCTCCCTCTCCCTCCCCCGGCAGTGTCTTCTATTTGCGAGCTGGGCTCTGCTGGGTCCAGCAGCCCCTACTGGCGGCCAGCAGCTCTGCAGCCCGTTTCTGTGCGGGGTGGGGGGAGGAAATTCTGTATGCACAACATTAATTTCTGCTCAAATTCTGCATGTGCAGCAGTGCAGAATTCCTCCAGGAGTAATACAGTGCTAAGGTTAACTACTGTAATGTCTAGCAGGATTAACAAAATAATAATTGGTGGTTCTTCAAATACTGTCCCTGTGGGTGCTCCAGTTCAGGTATGCCTGTACTCTACATCTTTGATCAGAGATTTTTGGTGGCCGTGCCTGTTTGGTCCACACATCCACACTCACACCCTCATGCCCTGTACCAAAGATATAAAGGGCCATGGACGAACAGCCCTCAGTCCCTTGTCAACGTCCTTTGGCCTGAGATGGAGTCTGCTGTGTGCCTGTTCTCTTTAGTACTGTATTTAGTAGTTAGTTAGTATGTAGTTAGTTCTTTGATAGTGTTTATAGTTGTTGGAACAGTTGTTCCCTTTTTATCTTTCCTTTAAAAAATTATAGATTGACATACATTGATTTAAAATCTTTCCCTATTAAGGGGTAATCTTTTGTTATTTTGCTTGGAGATGCTGGGCTCTTGGGATTTAAAAGGTGTCTCTCCTGCTGCGAGACTATCCTGATAAGTGATGGGCATTTTCAGTACCTCCACTCTTTGGGAGATACTCATGTTCCCAGTGAGTGTAGGATCTGCACTTCTTTCAAAGGTAGATCCCGAAAAAATAGGGAGATCAAGTTTTAATTCCTGATGATGAAGGAAGCCTTAAGACCAGCTTCAGGGGCAGAGGACAACCCGCACCACATACACAGACCTCCCAGTACGGCTAGTGCCCTGTCTACCTCAAGATCTCGGTCATTGGCGACTACTTGAGACGTAGGCAGTACTGGTTACATCTACAGCACTGAAGACCTCAGCAAAGGTAGCATCGACATCTGCTGCCTGGATGCAGAAAGAGATAAAGACTAAACCTCTGAGAAAGTCTGACTCCGATGCCCGAGAACGCTATGGAGACCTCGGTCCCAAAGGGAATTCAGTGCAGGCTCTGAGTGCTTTCTGTACTGCAAGGACAGTGAAGACAGATTCAAGAAGTCAATTGTCATAGACAGACTTGGTACCGAGCTCAGGTACCCATACCCAGAGCTGCAGAGCCACTTCCAGGAGTATTCTATGCGTGTCCCCAAACAACAGTCGGTACTGATAACATGGAAGTGTATGATACCGAAGACTGTTCAACTGCCTATGTTACTGATGTAATCGCAGTCGACTCTTTCCAATGCCAAGCCCTGGGTGCCAGCTACCTTGGTACCAAAGCCATCCTCCACAGGTTCTTGCTCGACCCATTCTTTGATGCCATTGGTACCTCAAGAATTTTGATATTTCAAGGACCTTCTAGTATTTTTGGAGCTGGAGTCTCCTCTGTTAACTGGTACCGCGGGTTTATCCACACCAAGACTTACTCAGTTACCACCCCCCATTAGTTAAAGTACCATACTCGCTGTTGTCTACCGTACAAGTTGAACAGTTATCCTCCCCCACACCTTGGAGTATGTTTAGAAGGACTCCTCAGACTCTCAGATATTGGTACATGGTTTCCCTGTCTACTCTAAAACACATAACTGTGTCTCTTACACTGATTAATTGGCAGAGGATAGACCTCAAACGACACCCACATGACAAGAACACAGATGGATGCCTCCACCAATATCCTTGTTGGGACCTTTGGGCATTCTGTTGTCAACAATTTGCAGCAATTCTTCACACCATCGGAGGGAGCAAAGAAGGGCTCATTCTCCTCTAGCATAGCTTGTGGCAGAGGTGGTTGAGGGGGAGACCTTGGTGGTGCAAAAATCAAGGGTAGACAAGGAGTTGATGCCTTTTACAAATATTTCCTCCTCATTGCCTGGTGAAGCTGTGATGCCTCCACTGCCTTCTGTGGCAGATAACTTCAGGCAGTTCTAAGAACTGATTAAGCGAATTGCTGAAATGCTTCAGATTCCTTTAGAGGAGGTTCAAGTATCCAACCATAAACTCCTGAATATTTTATAGTTTAGCATCCATTCTGGTCAGTGAAACTCTTATGGAACCCACTAAATCTATTTGACAAACCCCAGCTACCATACCACCTACCTACAAAAGGGCAGATAAAAAGTATCCTGTCCCTGCCAGGGAATCAGAGTTTTAATTTTCTCACCTGGATCCAGATTCCCTGTAGTGGAGGCTGTTAATGAACAAAGCAGATAACATACCTCAAAGTCCACCCTGTACAGCAAGGACCACAGGAGGCTTAATATTTTTGGCTGCAAATCTTACTCTTCAGCCACACTTCACTTTAGAACAACGAACCATCAGGTGCTCATGGCCAAATTTGACTGTTTGAATGGCAACAAATTCTATTTCTTTATGGATCATCTGCAAGAGGAACATAACCAATTTAAGGCCATTATTCAAGAGGGTCAGCTCCTGGCAAGAACATCACTCCAGGCCTCCTTGGATGCTGCTGACACTGCATCGTGTTCAATGTGGTGTTCATGAGAAGAGCATCTTAGCTTTTGGGCTTCCCAAGTGAGGATCAGAGCACCACTGAGGACCTTGCCTTTGACAGTCACACTCTCTTTCAAGATTTGACAGGTACGTCTCTCCACATTCTAGAGTACTTGAGCTATGTTAAGATCCTTGGAAATTTATACTGCTGTAAATTAAAGGAGATTTAGCTGGTCTCAGACAGCACAAAGAGCATGCCCAACCCTGTATCCAACTTATTGTGGAACAGCTGAGCCCTGAGCCAAGAGACCAAAATACTCTAAAAAGAAACCTCCTTCAGCTACAGCTACATCTTCTCAGCCATCCACAACCTCTAAGTGACAGTTCTGATGACTTGGTCGAGAGTCTCAACCCCCCAATTGACTAGGATTTACAGCTGCAATATCAAACCCCATCCCCTCCTTTCGGATGTCACCTCTCCCATTTTCAAGCTGCATGGGAGAATATAACATGGGGCAAATGGGGTTTGGAAGCCATAACATTTGGCTGCACAGTCCATTTCAGTTCTGTTCCCTCCTATCCATTCTCCCTCCCCTTCCCTGTTCAGGGAACCATCTCATGATTAATTGCTGACATGAGGTTGCCTCACTTCTGTGTGTTGGGGCTATAGAACCAGTTCTTGTGCAGCACAGGGGAAGGGTATTCTATTCAACATACTTCCTGATTCCAAGTGAAATGGAGGTTGAAGGCCAATTTCAGATCCCAATATCTAAACAGATATGTGGAACAGCACAAATTCAGGTTGGTGACCCTTTCAGCAGTAATTCCCTTGTTAGATTCAGGAGATTGGTTTGTGATTCTCGACCTACAAGATGCATATTTTCATGTGGCTATTCACCCTTCACACAAGAGGTTTCTTTTATTTTCTAATCAACAATGATATCTACCAATACCAGGTGCTTCTTTTCACCCTATCTTCTGCCTCCAAGATATTCTGGCAGTAGTTGCCATCCACCTACATCGTTGGGATATAAATGTTTTACCGTATCTGGATGATTGGTTGATTGGAGTAGATCTTATCAGGAAGTGGTGGTGGCCATAAATGTGACACATTCTCTCCAGAAGACATCCCTACAAGTAATTGACATTGGGAGTCTCAGGAAGAGTACGCTTCTTCATCATAACCATTCCCTATTCAGGGCATCCTGGGGGATGCAGTACAGCAGAAAATATCATCTCTGCTCCTGCTTCCAAAATCAGGTCTTCTTTTCCTCACAGACCACCTCAGGAAGAGAAAATGGTCCACTGGGACATTGAACAGGATGACATGCAAGAACCAGATTGCCATTAGAAGAGACTGGACATATCTACATCTTCCCTGGATGAAGCCATCGCTCCAGTGGTCCCAACCCAGCCAGACAATTAACACATCTTTCAGGAGTTCACTGGAACAAACAGTTGACACACTGGAGATTCAAGTACAGGAGGAGTCTCAGAACCAATTGGTCATCCTGCACTCCTTGATCCCTGGCAGGTGTGCAATGCCAATAAATGAGGATGTATTGGAGCCGGCCAAAGAGCTCTGGTCATCCCAGCTACCATCTCCCCTCAAAGGGGCTTGAGTATTTTTATAACCATCCAACAACTGGGTCCCTAGTTCATGAGAAGTCTAAACTTCAGAGTCCACCCAAAATGACACTGGGGTAAAGATCCAAAGAAACTGGACTACTTTGGCAAAAGGCTTATTCCTGAGCCACCTTTTAGATGTCTGTTGAATTACCATGTGTTCCAGGTTAAATAAAACTTCTTGATTTGGAGCCGGATGTCGCAATTCATTGAGAGACTCCCTCACAGCACAGAGAGGAGTTAAACTTCTTGATAATGGAGGGACAACTAGCAGTTCACTCTTCTCTGCAGGCTTCTCTCAATGTCTGACACAGCAGCGTGTTGTATAGCAGCTGCTGTTACAATGTGCAGGGCTTCATGGTTGCAGTCTTCGGGAATATGGAAGGAGGTTCAAATGACCATGGGGGGACCTTCTCTTCAAAGGCTGTGACCTATTTCATACACACACTGTCAAAGCCCTGCACACTTTGAAGGACTTAAGGATCACTTTGCAATCCCTAGAAAGGTATACCCAAACCCTAAGGAGGGAACTCTACAAGCCTCACCTATCAGAGGCAACCCTCCCCTAATATTATGGATAACTAAGATCTTTAGAGCCCCTGAGGAAAAGAGAGGTTGCAGAGGAGAAGACCCTTCTGCCACACACTCTGCACTGACGTCATGCCAGAAAATTTGACAGGATGGTTGAGAGTCTGCATAGAATAGCAGGATCTACTTTTTCCCCCACTTGGAACTATCTTTTATTTTTAGGAGGCCTGAAACCAGATTATCTCAAAAAAGTGGGTCATGGAAATTGTGGATAAGAGGTACTCTGTCCAGTTCCAGTCCCTCCCTCTCTGACACTTCCCTCTCTCATTCTCTTCAGGGACACCCTTGATAAGATACTGTTAAAGGAAGAGGAAGTCTTTATGCAATTCAGAGCAGTGGAAGAAGTCCCTATAGAATTCCAAGGTGAGGAGGGTTATTCAGATTATTTCCTAATTCCAAAGAAGAAAGGGAACTGGCATCCCATCCTGGACTTCCAATGACTCAACCAATTCATACATTGCTTCAAGTTCAGGATGGTGACCTTCACTTCTATAGTTCCTACCCTAGATCTTCAATATTAGTTCGCACTCAATTTACAGGACACCTGTTTCCAGATAGCAATTCACCCAGCCCATAAGAAATACCTTAAATTGGCTGGTTGCTAGTCACATTACCAATACAGCATGACTTCTTTTGGTCTCTCCACTGGTCCCAGAGTATTCATCAAGTGCCAAGCATTCATGGTGGCTCCCTTAGGGAGGAAGGACGTGCATGTCTACCTATACTTCAACAACTGGTTAATTCAAGGACAGTCTCCTCAGCAAGTGAGCAATTCATCAAAGGTAGCCTTCATGCTCTTCGCTGCTTTGGGTTTCAGAGAGAACAAGGAGAAATACAGTCTGACCCTTACTGAATAGATTTCATAGGGGCAATATTTGGACTCCGCAGTACCAAAAAGCCTACTTGTCACAAGACAGATTCCTCACTCTTCTGAACTTCATCAGTCAACTCCAGACTTGCCCAGTATGAATAGTTAGAGCATGTCTCAGACTAATGGAAAACATGGTTTACTGCTCCTACATGTCACAGTTTGCCAGACTCCACCTACACGCCACGCAGACTGGTTGAGATCAGTGTAGCTACCTGGAAGACCCCATATAATCATGATATTTATGGTCCCACAAAAGTTGTCCCCTCGTTAGATTGGTGGAAGGACCCTCCTACAGGTGTACAGCAGAGGATCATTGTCACCATTCCTATCAACAAAGACACTGGTGATGGATGTAGCCACTCTTAAGGCTTGCCTAAGCAGTGTGCTAAGGTGCACCACTGGGGTGTGAATTCTTGTGTGCACCAGAGTGCACTCACTAAATACCCACGTGGGCCCTGCTGGCGCTCACTAAAAATTCCTTTGTGTGCGTTTATGTAGTGCAGTACTGTGTCAGTGCACCGTAGGACTCTTCTAATGTGTGCCAGCAGGGTCCACACAGATAGTTACAGTTAATGCAGGACATGCTGGTGTGTACTAGAATTCACACCCCAGCTGGTGAGGATTAGGTTATTGTGTAGACAAGCTCTTGTAAGGCGATCTCCTCTAGACCAAATTCAGACACAAGGCCTCCCCAAGAACTAAATCTCCACATAAATATGCTAGAGCTAAGAGCCTTTTGCCTAGCATACATGGTATTTCTACTCACACTCTGAGGAACCACTATCCAAATACTGATGGACATCACTATGTACTACGTCAACAGGCATCAACAGGCTCAATCACTGCCTCTTTGCCAGGAATCAGTCCATTTCTGGGAATGGTGTGTTTATCATCACCTCACTCTAATGGCCCTACATATTTCAGATTTTAAAAACACGCAGGTGGACCAGCTTAACAGACAGTACTCATGCACTAATGAATGTTCTGTCAGTGATTCAATTCTGTGAAGCATCTTCTGTAATGTGAATAGACCTGTTTGCCATGGACAAGAACAGCAAATGCTAACTATCCACTCTGGGAGTGAGCGGGAGGCTGGGGGAGGGGGAGAATCAAGCCCAGTCTCCCTGTCAGCTGCCTTACTCATCCCCTGAGCACTGGGACTCATGTACGTTTATCCATCCATTTCATTCATACTTAGGATCCTGACGAAACTTGATGAAGGTGGGATGCAGCCCATAATATGCTGCTAGCCCCAGCATGTAACAGTTTTGGCTACATAGTTTTCACACACCCTATAGTTGGTAGGTTCTTCAAAGGACTCATCCATTTCTTTCCTCCAATCATACGGACCCCAACCTCCTGGGACCTCGACATTATGTAATAAGGCTGATGGGGCTCCCTTTGAACATTTAGCAACCTGTTCCTTATACCAGCTGTCTATGAATATTGCTTCATAGTAATAGTAAACTCAGCCTGAAGAGTAGGAGAGATCCAAGCTGTCACAACAAGACCACCATATACAGTATTCCATAAGGACAAGATAACATTGAGGCTTCACCTAACATTCTTGCCCAAAGTTGTTACTGACTTTTTCCTGAATCAAGTGATTTGCAAGTTTTATTTCCCAAGCCTCATAACGGTCAAAGGGAAGCTTTCACACCTTAGGCGTAGTCAAGATTGACTGTTCAGGAATTTTCCGTTACATTCCTGGCCTTTGTTGACAGGATGAAGAATCAAATGATATCTATAAGAAGTTCCTGATTGTAACTGATTTACAATAGCTCAGTTGGACCCATTTTCACAGATAAGAGCCCATTCCACCACACTGTAAGCAGCTTATCTTAAAGCTTAAAGGGCTTTTCAGTATGACATTTGTAGAGAAACTACCTGGAGTTCAGTTCACACCTTCACTCGACATGACTCCTGACAGAGGACTCCAGGTCAAATGCCTGATTTGGCTGCATTGTCCTGCAGTCCTTGTGTCAGCAGATTCTGAATACCACCTCCATGAAAAGAGATTATTGCTTGCGAGTGAACAGAAATGGAATCTGTGTGGACAGTCAGTTGAAGAAGAGTGGTTTCTCACTCTGTAGTAACTGTGGTTCTTCAAAATGTGTTATCCACTTGTGTTCTACAACCCACCCTCCTGCCCTGCTACTGCAAAATCCTATATCACTTGGATTCTGCTTTAGGGAAGGAACTGAAATGTCATTGTGACTGACCCAACGACTATGCCCTTGGCTATTGGGAGCAAGTGTGGTCCCAGCAAGCACTGCTCTTTAAAAGAATTTGATCTCATGTGATTAGGGCACATGCAAACCAGAAGCTGGAATACTTGTGGACAACATAACTTTTTTTGCAAGGTAAGTAGCCAATCTTCTTGACACAAAGGGTCATTTTCTTGCTTCAAAGGAATTTGTCTAGATTTATATTGGCAGTGTAGGTAAGAGGAGAATTTGGCCCAAAATATCTTCCTTAGAATCTAACAAGTGTGTAATTAGGTTATTAATTATAAATTACATGCACAATAAAAATAAAGTCAAATTAACGTGGCATTTTGTAAACGAATTTGATGCAACTATCTGGACGTCTAATAGAAGTATAAATAAGCTTATGGGGTGAAATCATGGCTTCCATTGAAATCAATGGCAAAATTTCCATGAACTTCAATGGGGCCAGGATTTCTCATGTTCTTCCATAAAATATGTTGTTATAAATCTGTCATCCAGTTTTTCCTTATTTAAATTTGGGGCACCAAGTGCCCTCTGTAATTCTCAAGAGTTAAAATGAGATCATTGACCTGTTTTTTAGCTAACAACTGAAATTTCTGAGGAAGCATCCACTCAGTATCTGCACATCACAGAGGCTGAAGACGTTCAAGGAACTCAAGCTGCTGTAGCTGCATTACAGGACCTAAGATATACCTCAGAGAATGGTAACGGATATTTTTAGTTTGAAAGGGTAGACTAGATCTTCTTTTCATCAGAGTTCCCAACTCCTGTGAATACAGTGGGAAACTTGAAAAGGAAATATTTATTCTTCTGTGTTGATTTTTAAAAAGGTATTTTCTATATGGTAGTGAGGTACTAATACTGTAGTGTGGTAAACATTTCTTTGTAAGGTCATCTGTAATTGTTTTTAAAAGGACAATGTCAAGTTTTTGGACCCACAGTGTGGTTTACCAGAGGAGTTCTCAACCTCTTTCTTTCTGAGCTGCCCCCAACATGCTATAAAAACTCCATGGCCCACCTGTACCACAACAACTGGGCCTGCATTGGGTGCGGGGGGGGAGAGCAAGCAGGGCAATTGCCTGGGTCCCCATGCCACAGGGGCCCCTGTGAAGCTAAGCTGCTCAGGTGGTGGGGCTCAAAGCCTTGGGCTTCAGCTTTCTGACCTAGGCCCCAGCAAGTCTAATGCTAGCCGTGCTTGGCGGACCCCCTGAAACCTGCTCGCTGACCCCCAGGGGTCCCAGATCCCTGGTTGAGAACTGCTGGTCTACCATAAAGCGGTTAGAAACTGATTAGGCATGTCAACCAAAAAATTTTTTTTTTCATTTTTCATTCATATTACTGTTTATAAGAAATTAAAAATAATTACCACTGCACACCCAAATAATTACCAATGCACACTCATCTATATATACAGTGATCATCAATAAATCATCAACATTTATTACACCACTGTTTTTGACCTTACTACGGTATTTGTGGAATTTCCTGTATGAAATATAGAAAATATCATAGTACAGACAAATAGCATGACAGAATAAATGTTGAATGTTTAATTGCGATCCTCTAGATAACATTTGTGCCTTGCTGCAAGAGTCAACCAGCCAGCAGAAGATATACAGTTGAATAGTTAATCTACCGTGTTCTCAGTTAATTATGATGGTATGCAAACGAGGAAATAAGCCCACCAGAGCTGTATTGGCTTGTGTTTGACAAGAAACAGGGGAGCACTAATTTAATATTTGCTAAATGGAAAATGACAAAATCGGGAGGGAAAGAAGAAATTATTTTCAAGCTTCTGAGAGTACTAAAACAGAAGAACAAAGTGTGTGGGTATGAGTTTGATGAAGAGATAAACAAGGGTCTCTGTGATGCTGCCTAGCAGACTACTTATCACAGGATCCCACTTTTGTAATGGATCCATTACTATGACTTAGTATAGTCATTCTTGAAATGTATATTGTTCACCCTTGATCCCTGACCTGAATTCGGAGGGATTATAATTTTGGGTAACACATATTTCCTTTGCTAAGCATGTTAAATTGGTAGCAGAATGGAATTTTCAAGCATATTAAATGAGGAGGTATCACTGACAATTTATATATATATATACACATATATATATTTTTGCATTTTCCCCCAGTGGGAATTCTGAATACATCGGAGGAATCCTTTGCAATCTTTGCCCAGTCATGCATACATTTAAATTTAAAATAAGCATAATATGGGTTAAGTTTAAGCATAAAGCTTTCAAAACATATTTTGTTAGTTTAGTGTTTCAGACTTTTTTGTTTAGAATATTTTTTTGACATATTTCCTTTGGAAAAACTTGAAGAGAAGTAACATCTTGTCCAGAGGCAGAGTTATACAGTCACACACCAGAACAAATTAAAACATACATTAAAACAAGCAGAAATAAAATAATGTTGACTCATACAAATAACAGCATGTCAACTTCTTCATATTTGAAACTTAAGTTATATCGGCCATGTTCTCCCCGGAGTGGAGTTTGGGGTTAGGGACCCAGTTATGGCCCGCTTAGTTCTGTGGGCTGCTCTGTCCCTGTCCCAGCATGAGCTAAAGGAGCTTAGTGGCTGCTCTAACATATGCAAACTGAGTATCAACATAACGTAGCTCTGCCAGGTTCTTTTCTTCCAGAGACATCTAAAACACAGATAGGTGGGCAGAAGGGATAGGAGTTCCTTACAACAAAAGGAATTTTTCACTGACTAGCTATGGCCACGTTCTGTCCCCTTCATGCTGCTGTAGGGTCATAATCTCAGTTCTGTATATTCTGTAAACTGACTATTCCTCTGTCAGAGCCCCACACACTCAGAAAATGAAAAAGTGTGGCAAAAACTGCTATACAAATAGTGATCAGGCATGATCTTTCTAAAGAGAATTAATTTTCCCTTTCAGCACATTACTGACAAGGGTGGTTGTTCTGGGTTGAGAGGAACTGCAGATGGTCAAACAGATGGCAATGGTAGACAAACAATATACTAAATAGCTGTCCTGATTATTATAACTTTAGAGTTCAGATTCTGTTAAAGCTGAACCCTTAGCAAATATTCATTTGGAGTCATAAAGCTTTGCAGCTTTGTAGTTTACAGTTACTGCTGTAAGTTCTGCCTATTGATTGTTTAATCAATAAGTTCTTCTAGATCACTTTCAGATGTGGATAAAAATGAACTATGCAAATGCCCGTCCTGTTCCTGAGGACACTTATTTTGTGAATACTTTCTCCCATTGATCCACTATTAAAATGTCATGTTATTGAGCTGCTTCTATATATAGGAGGAGTTCTACATGTGAGGGTGGAGGCCAGAGAGAGAAGAGCATTTTGATTCACGGAACCTTAGAGCTGTCTTGGCTATAATTGTCTTGTGCCCATTATCTTTCTAATAAGGTGAAAGACTTGACTCTACCGCTGTAAACATCCTTCAGCAAATCATTGAATTGGGGTCAGAGACCCATGATGCTGCTGCTGTTGCTTCTGTAGTTACCATGGCACCTGGAACTGTTACAGTGGTAAAGCAGGTAAGAGCTCTTCTGTTCCTTAGAAAATACACATTTTATTCTCATTAATTTTTTCATAAAATATTTATTTATTTCACAAAGGAACTTTTATCTCTTTAAATGAGAGTACAGTGAAGGCCAACTTTTGAATAAGAATTAAAGGATTGACTCATTCAGTATAATTCCATCTTCTGCCGCAGGCGGGTGGAATTTTTTACTTGTGTGCATAAAGGTTAGATATTTGCGCATAATAGTTGTTGATTACTTTCTCTGTGTGTGAGCTTCCAGCTTTTTCAACATAAGATGTCAAAGAACTTACTTTCAGGATTTTTAGAACAAAACTGAAAGTAGTTTTGTTAGTAAATTTATTCAGCATGTCTTTATTTTGCATTAAGCTAAGGTAGCATTAGCTCTTAAACAGCAATTTTTTTCTGAAAAATGACTGTAAACTTTACTGTAAAAGGAGCATATTTTGTATTCCCCATGTAGTCAGCTCTACTGATATTTGTAATAAAAATAAGGTTTTTGTTTTCACTTGGTTGACTACTTTTCAGACTCTTAGTGCTACAGAACCAACACCACTCAGGGTTTGTCTTCATTGAACAGTTAACTCAAGCTCTAGCTCAAGAGTTACCCCTAACTTGAGTCCTGTCCACACACAAAACCGCTTAACTCGAATGTGGTGGTAACTCAAGATGACTGACCCCTCTGGCCCTCACCAGCTGTTAACAGTGTCACTGTTAACAGTAATCCAATACTTCTTTGTATCTGGAGTATTATTTCACAGCAGGCTGCTTTCTTCTAAGGTGAGCTGACCTAACTCAACAGGATTTACTTGAGTATAGATAATTCGAATTTACACTGTAGTGAAGACATAGTCACAGAGAATTAAGATGGATTCTGATCTTCCTTGTGCATCATTAAGATAATTGCTTACCAAGTTCCAATCAGATATACCTGTGCAATCCACTGAAGACAAGGAGATTACATAGGTGTCACTAAGAGCATATTTGGACTGAAAAATTTGATTGCTGGTGATAAATATGAGGAAAAGAAGTCAAGCATGACTTTCAGAACCATGTGAAATTAGCAAGGTAGCTATGGTCAGTTTCCTTTTTTCATGTGTGTTGTCTGGTGGTACGGAAGTCTAGAATTCAGGTGCCTGTAATCTGATGCTACAGCGTCTTTATATGTATAACAAGGTACATGCACTAAAAATGTAATATACTTTACATTGCTGTCTACATCAAGAAGCCATTTGGATAAAGCAGAAGTGATTTCACTAACCTCTTTCCACTTCTTTTTCTTTCCATTAGAGGCATGGCAGCCCTCAGCTGAGGACTAAACTGAATTTGGACTCAGCTCCCCTTGCCACAAGCTCTTAATGGCCGTTACTATTGTTGAAGTCAAACTGTAGTTGATTAGGTGACAGCAGAATTCCCTTTCTGGACTAATACACTGTGCAGAGTTGCCATTAGTTTGAGAGGTAACTGCAGAAGCAAGGAGACAAAAACTAATTACCAGCCAAGTTTAGAATGCGGCTTGGTGTTTTAAAGAGCTTCATTTTTTTTTTATTTATTTTTTTTTTAACGGGTAGATGTAATCAAATCCACACTCTGCCAACATGCCTTGGTTACCTGTTCTCAGCAACTGCACATAAGTCCTCGCTGTTAAAGTCTTTAATGACATACAACTACAATATTTGATGGGCTTTCTGTTGCCCTATTTCTCATTGCAAAGACTTCAAATGAAAATTTGGGATTCTTTAAGAAGAGTTTATTAGATGGCCAAAAAGCCATGATTCTGCATTCAAGAAAGAGGACAACTTGGGCTAAAAACCTGTCCTGGTTCAATGGAGAAGTGAAGGCAACGATTAGAAATAAAGACATTATATATAACAAATATAAGAAGAGAGAAAATAGATAGTAATTGCTATAAATTAGTCAAAAGTTATGAAGAGTAGAAAATTGATAAAGTAATTTAAGACAAGTAAAATCTATAGCTGACAGAGCTAAGGACTACCAGGAGTTTTTAAAAGTATATTAGAAACAAAAGAAAACCTAGCAATGGTAGAGGCCTGTTACTAGAGGAGGATGGTAAAATTATTAATAATGATGCAAAAAAGACATTAATGTTCTATAAATACTTCTGCTCTGTACTTGAGGAAAAGCTGAATGGTGTGTTCAAATCACTTGAGGATAATAGAGTACTTATCAGTCCATTAGTAACTACGGAGGATGTTAAACAACATCTACTAGTGATAAATATTTTTAAAGCAGAAGGTCCAGATAACTTGCACCCAACAGTCCTGAGAGTTGATCCTGTAAGAAATCTCTGGCCTGCTGATATTACTTTTTAATAAATCTTGGAATATTGAGAAAATTCCAAAACATTGGAAGAGTAATAATGTTGTGCCAATATTCAGATTAACAAATGGGATGACTTGCGTAACTACAGGCCAGAGACTGACATAGGGTCTTGGTGGCTGCTATCTAGGTCTGTTGGTCGGAGTGGTCCTTGAAGAGCCAGACATCCAAATATGGAAAGAGACCATGATGTCCCACTGACATAGGTGGGCTGCTGCTGCTGAGTGGGCTTCCTTAAGACCCTCAGGGCCATGGAGAGCCCAAAGGGAAGGACACATTATTGGTAATGATCCGAGCCTATGACAAAATGCAGAATGCATTTGTGGGAGGGATAAAATAGTCACATGAAAGTAGGTGTCTTGAAGGTGAAGTGCGATGAACCAGTCCCCTGGATCCCGGGACAGGATTATGATAGCTAGCATCACCATCCTGAAGTGCTACGATAGGATGTAGGTGTTCAGGTTCTTGAGGTCTAATGTCAGCCTTTAGTCACTGCCTGGTTTGGGAATCAGGGAATATAAACAAGGTAGGAAGCGGCTGGAAACAATAGACACCACAATTGCTGCATCTCAAGCTGTGGGTGGGTGAGAAGGAACTAGAGTGGTGGTGGGTCTGCACCGCTTTGAATGCCCTCACTTGGGAGCATGAGACTCTGTTTTGTGCAGGTGCAGACCCTGCTATTTATAATCTCCAATCAAGGGTGCATGGGCGCGCACACATCCTGTGGCGGAGCATCCATAGGGACATATATTCAAAGGAGGAGGAGAAGTTGTTTATCTAGACAGTAATTTGTGTTCTTTGAGATGTTTTGTCTCCATGGGTGCTCCACCTCCCATTGTCCTTCCCCCCTGCTGTGGAGTCTTCTTTGCTTCATGGCCAAAAAAGTACTGGAGCTGTGGTGGGGGTTGCAACTCCTAATCTTCCCTCAACTTGGGAGCACGATGCACTGCTCTGTGCAGGCACAAATCCACAAACATTGCTGTTTACAATCTCCGGTCAAGAGTGTACTGGCACTCAGTTTAGCACCCGTAGGGGCAAAACATCTTGAAGAACTCAAGTTACTGCCCAGTTCAGCAATGTCTCCTAGCTAATCTAGTAATCTTTACTCAGTTTGGCATAGGAGCACTAAGCTCCTCCTCACCCTGTGCCCCTGCAGAGGTGCCACCCCACTCCCAGTACTGTGACCTCAAATCTTGGTTCCTCATAGCCCCAACACATCCCTGTTAACCTTCTCCTGGTTTCCCAAAGCCCTATGCAATCTCTCATGCCTTCCAGGGTTACATCTACACAGCAATATAAGCCTAGGGTTAGTGGAACTCGAGTCAGCTGACCTGTGTCAGGGAGCCCTGGGCTTGAGAGTCTATCTTGCATTTTAACCACAAGTTAAGGATTTTCTGATCCATGCTCAAATTTAGTGCTCTGGCATCCACACTGCAGTGCACAGACATGAGTCACAGTAACCCTATCCTGGAGTGGCTAACGCTGACCTCCCACCCCTCAAAGTGTTGACACTCTAGCCCTAAGAATGTGTTGCACTGTGGGAAAACTCTACTGCCCACTCTGTTTCCTAACAGTGAGGGTGTTATTGATGGGACTCAGGTGCTTATAAGTAGCTCTTGAGTACATACACCACATAATTAGCTTCTCTGGTGGCTGGCTCAGTAGAATAACTGCAGTTTGAGAAGGCTTTATGCTGAACTACCACCTAATTTGAGAATTGGGCTCTCCACCTCTAAGATGAGTCACATTGGCAGGAAAATGCCCATGTGCCTCTGTCCTGAGGATAATTAGGACATCAGTCCCCAGGGCTGTCAAACTAGGTAAAACGAAATTTTGCAATTCGTAATTTTTAAGATGGGACATTCAGTGAAGGTGTTTTTGTTTGGTTGGTTGTTTTTGTCTGTCTGTTTTGAAGTTTGACATAAAATGTAGGTTTCAGAGAAAAACACACACATACACCAACCTGGCTGCAGTGTGGATTCAAGTGTCTGCTCCCAACACATTCCCTGGGTCACTTCCTACCCTTGAGCCCACTTCAGGTCTGTCTTCCACAGGCAGCAGCTTGGCATCTCCGTCTATCCCTGTAGCTGGTGGACTTTCCATAGCATAGTCCGGGATACCCTCCTCAGCAGTCTGGAGAGCTGACAGTCCTTCAGCAGGAGCCTGCAGCACACATCCATCCTCTTCCTCAGCTAGCCACAACTGAGATGATGAGTTTGTTTTTATCTGTTCCCTCCACAGAGAGCATGGGCAGCAGGGACAAGGGGGCAGGGCCTCTTGGGCCTAAAGTGATTGGTTAACCCCCACTTGACCAGTGCAGGGTTGAGACACCCCATCACAATCAGTATTAATGAAAATTATTTTGTTTTAAGTAATGGGACCTTTTTTTCAGTGAAAGAGTGAGAAGGAGAATTAACCTTGTACTGAAATGATGCCAATAAGAAACTGCAACTGTAAACCACAAAACTTAAAAAAAATATTATTTCAATTACTTTCTCCCTCCAAGTATTAAATCAAATCAATTTCTTTCTTATCTTAAACACAAACATCTAGTGCTTTGGACACTCCTACTTTCTTGCTATCTTTGTAAAGAAAGGCAGCTTGTATTAAAAAGGAATTCACTCCTTAACTTTTCAACCTACGGCCCCTTGCCAC